AAAAAATATAAGTTTTTTTTAAAAAAAACTTATAATTTATAATATTTTTTGGAGAAAAACTCATTCACATGAATCAGTGTTTTTTGAGGGAAATCCTACTAAAAAGCTAGGTTCAGATGAATGCACATTTTGTGCTTTATGAAAATGTCCATTCATCTGAACCTAGGTTTTTGGTAGGGTTTCCCTTCGAAAAAACTGATTCATGTGAATGAGTTTCTCCAAAAAAAATATTATAAATTATAAGTTTTTTTTAAAAAAAACTTATATTTTTTTTCGGGATTATATTTTTTCGACCGAGGACTTAAAACTTTCCGACTATTGTTTGCCTGGAAGGCTGCTCGCAGGAAAATCTGCGGCAAAAAACCTGCAAAAAATGTGTTTTTTTTTGAAAAACTTATATTTTTTTGAGGGCTGGTCGTGGGAAAATCGGCGGCAAAAAAAACTGAAAAAATATAAGTTTTATTTTTTTAAAACTTATATTTTTTGGAGGGCTGGTCGCGGGAAAATCGGCGGCAAAAAAATCTGAAAAAATATAAGTTTTATTTTTTTAAAACTTATATTTTTTGGAGGGCTGGTCGCGGGAAAATCGGCGGCAAAAATAACTGAAGAAAAATATAAGTTTTATTTTTTTAAAACTTATATTTTTGGAGGGCTGGTCGCGGGAAAATCGGCGGCAAAAAAAACTGAAAAAATATAAGTTTTTTTTTTTTACAACTTATATTTTTTGGAGGGCTGGTCGCGGGAAAATCGGCGGCAAAAAAATCTGAAAAAATATAAGTTTTATTTTTTTAAAACTTATATTTTTTGGAGGGCTGGTCGCGGGAAAATCGGCGGCAAAAATAACTGAAGAAAAATATAAGTTTTATTTTTTTAAAACTTATATTTATTGGAGGGCTGGTCGCGGGAAAATCGGCGGCAAAAAAGACTGAAAAAAAATATAAGTTTTATTTTTTTAAAACTTATATTTTTGGGAGGGCTGGTCGCTGGAAAATCGGCGGTAAAAAAATCTGAAAAAAATATAAGTTTTATTTTTTTAAAACTTATATTTTTGGGAGGGCTGGTCGCGGGAAAATCGGCGGCAAAAAAAACTGAAAAAAATATAAGTTTTATTTTTTTAAAACTTATATTTTTTGGAGGGCTGGTCGCGGGAAAATCGGCGGCAAAAAAATCTGAAAAAAATATAAGTTTTATTTTTTTTTAACTTATATTTTTGGGAGGGCTGGTCGCGGGAAAATTGGCGGCAAAAAAAACTGAAAAAATATAAGTTTTATGTTTTTTTAAACTTATATTTTTTGGAGGGCTGGTCGCGGGAAAATCGGCGGCAAAAAAAACTGAAAAAAATATAAGTTTTATTTTTTTAAAACTTATATTTTTTGGAGGGCTGGTCGCGGGAAAATCGGCGGCAAAAAAACTGCAAAAAATGCGTTTTTTTTTTTTAAACTTATATTTTTTTGAGGGCTGGTCGCGGGAAAACCAGCGGCAAAAAAACTGAAATATATATATATATATTTTAACTTATATTTTTTGGAGGGCTGGTTGCTGGAAAATCGGCGGAAAAAAATGTGAAAAACATATAAGTTTTATTTTTTAAAAACATATATTTTTTGGAGGGCTGGTCGCGGGAAAATCGGCGGCAAAAAAAACTGAAAAATATAAGTTTAATTTTGTTAAAACTTATATTTTTTGGAAGGCTGGTCGCGGGAAAATCAGCGGCAAAAAAACTGAAAAAATATAAGTGAGTTTTATTTTTTTTAAACTTATATTTTTTTGAGAGCTGGTGGCGGGAAAATCAGCGGAAAAAAAACTGAAACAAATATATATGTTGTATGTTTTTCAAACTTATATTTTTTGGAGGGCTGGCCGCGGGCAAATCGGTGACAAAAAAATGAACAAAATGTATGTTTGTTTTTTTTTTCGGTTGGGAGGGGAGGGCTGGCTGCGGAAAAATCGAACAAATATGTTTATTTTTTTGGACGGCTGGTCGCGGGAAAATCTGCGGCAAAAAAATTGAACAAATATATATATATATAATATAATATAATGTATATATAAATATAATATAATATATAATATAATATAATATATATATTATATATATAATATATATATATATATATATATATATATATATATAGTTTTTTTTTGGAGGGCTGGTCATGGGAAATTGGGCGACATAATACAGCTGTTTTGGTTTGTTTTGCGGAGATCTCACCAGAAAAAGGCACGCAAAAAAAACCTGCCAGCAATGTTGCTTTCATTTTTCAAACATTCATATGTTGCTTGGATTTGGGCCCAGAAAACAAGTGCTTAAAAAGCCGCTGAAAATCTGTCCTATGTTGTCTATTTGTTTTCTTTGAGCTGGCCCTGGAAACATCCAAAAAGAAAACGTTTTTGAAAGTTTTAAAATGTAGTGGATTTTGTCCGGAGTGTGCACCAAGAAACAGCTAACAAAACTGTTCAAATAATGTTATTTTGTTTTGCTTTGATTTCTAACGCACACACGCTCGACAACAACATTATGAGTTCCTGAGCCCAACCAGAAAAATGCATGCAATTTTCGCGTAACGGCACATAGGTAAGTATACACAAACCTATATAGATTGTGCGTTATATTTTTTTTGAACCTCCCCGCAAAAATAAAAAGAAACGAACATATGTATGTATGCATGCATGCATGTATGTAATGTAATGCAATGCAACGCAATGCAATGCAATGTAATGTAATGTAATATATGTAAGTACCTATAGTATGTAGAATTCTTATTTCAAAGAACTGGTGTTGATAAATCTCGCCGCCAAAGAGAAACGAGCCAAATATGTATCAGTTGTGTTTTTAATTTTTGGTTACCTTCTTGTGACCGGCCACGTGGAAGAGTTGTGCCAGCAGCACACAAGCAAGGGCTGATATGCAAAAACCTGTTGGCCTTTGTTTTGTCCATCAGGGCTCTACATTTTGACATGTTGTTCAAAACCGTGCACGGCATGATAATTCCAAAGTGCAGCGATTTGATTCCAATGGTTCATACGAGTTTTCCAATGCTTTAAGTAGTTCCCCAGGTTGCTCAAAAATTAAAATATATTTTTTACTATTTCCCCACGAGGGTTGTGCAAATCCACACCTTCATATCTTTGTTTTCATGCTCCTTTGGTCAACTCCCTCCGTCGTTTAGTTTTCATGTCGCACGGTGTTCTGTCCGTCCACGCTTCGCCCTCGCTCCCTCTGCGGCCGGCGAAGCAAACTAAACGAGAACGCAGAAATAAATAGCGACTAGAAAGGTGGGATAGAGCTAATTACATTAGCAGAACCAGCGACTAGAAGAATGTAGACGTAGCTGACACAGCATGCTTTGGTGAATTGTGGCCCCTGATACCATCAGTGCGCACGATGTTTCAGTAAAGATCTTACGTCGATTTCGTGCAGAGCACAGCTGCCCACACCACAAGATTTTCAAAAAGAGGCGTGCTGTGTGCCGTCTTGCTTTTGGGTTCCCTGGCCCACCTTGTTCCGAGGCACTTTACAGACGACACGGGACTTATGCATTTTTCTGCCACTTTGCAAATGACATGGGAGTTTGCGTTTTTTGGGTATGTCCGACAACTCCCATGTCATCTGCAGGTACTATGAGTCCTTGCATTCATGACCCTGTTTTCCTCACCTTTCTTGGGGGCTGTTTTCACTACCCAGCAACTGTTTGAGGGGGTATGCACTGGTCAGCTGCCAACGTTACAGCGAACCCCCGCATCTCAAGCAAAACTCAACGAGACATCCAACCTTCTGTATGCAGGTTGCAAAGTAAACAACTGGTCAGCAAAGTCACGGATCAGATGACTTTCTGTTCTTTCCGTAACATTCTTAACTATCAACTAAAGCAACTCAATTCTGCATTCTGAAATGAAATGAAATGAAATGCCGAGTCGGCGAATATGTGAGGCGGCTACGTCGCCTCAAGCGTGCGAGCGTGGCTGAGCACTTGGTGCCAGCTGCTCTGGCTTCGCTGAATTCGGCTTGCACTTGGAGGCTTCCTCACAAGGCTCCTGATCGGCATGAAATGTCCACCAAATTTCATCCAAAATCAAAGGCTTCAAACCTACACAACCACGTGACGCTCTGGAAATACACGAAATAGGTTGAAATGCTACAAGTATGAAACAGTATCAATCCTTCCTTCCTGTGCAAAGGGGCTCGGCCAGCCTCCTTGACCCACAGTTCCCTATAGGCGATTTGTCGCATACTTTACTTGGCTCGGCCATCTGGGCTCAACCAACTTGCATTGGTTTGTTGTCCCCCAATAGCGATATCTAGCGATAGTTTGGCGTTGTTAACTCTAAAGGTGGACGGGCGCCGTCGGGTTCACGGCTGCCGGCCTGGGCGGGGTGTGTCCCGGTGTGTCGGTCCTGTGGCGATGATGATGATGATGATGATGATGATGATGTTGCTGCTGCAGGTGGTGGTGGTGGTGGATGTGTGATGTTGATAATGGTGTTGATGGTGATGATTATGATAATGGTGTTGTGATGATTACTGTAGGTTGCTCTGACGGTGTTGTGAGAAGATGGTGATGTGAGAAGATGGTGATGGTAGAAGACAATTATGACAAAGTGTGCTGGCAACAACTTTTAAAGAACAAAACGTTTGCAGGTCCTTTCGCGGAATTGGTGGTGTCCGTCCTGCTGGTGTCTTGGTGGTCTCTTAAAATCTCTCAAATGTGTTTCGGTGGTCGTTGGTGTCTTGATGGCACTTTGGTGGTGTGTCCGTAGCGTCTTGACGGTGTTCGGTGATGTTTTGGGTGGTTTGGTGGTGTTTTGGCAGTGTTCCAGTGGTGTCTTGGTGGTATTGAAGGACTGGTGTTTTCTTGGCTAAACTGCATCACTTGTCAATACAAAATTGGCGTCAAAGGAACGCGAAACTTTGCCATTGGGGTTGTATGCTGGATTATATAGTTTTGGCATGGTGGATTTTCGCTTTTTAGTTTTGTAACTCTGAAGGTTCCTGGACTAATTCTGTTTTTTTTTTTTTCCCCGTATTTTGCATTTAAGTAGTGGAAGTGGATGAAATCGGAAGAACTTCTCTGACGCTGCTCCTCGACATCAGACTTTGAGAGAGCTTTGACAAGGAGCCGCTCCACCTGAGCAATGGGAGGGACAGAATTGTCGTCCTTGCTTCATGTGAACATCTTCGACACACTTGCAGCTAGTTTGGAGGCGGAGGCGATTCTATCATTTTGCAGGAGGTCTTTCTAACTTGGCCATTCCAATTGATTGCTTCGAACATCTTGGTGCAGTTTCTTTGTTTGTTTGTACTGGACTCCCTTGACAAATCATGACAAATCTATCGGGCATGACTCGGAATGAACATATGAAACATCAACCTCAAAAAAGACTTCGCTTCGCTGCAGACTATCAGGGCCCATCCCCAGTCGCCTTAGACATAGTTTCCCGGGTTTCCTTTCGGAATCCGTTGAGATTGTCTTCCAATCTCTTACCTTGGTGAAGATGACTCATGACTCACATTGACATGGCTCACATGACTCAGGTGACCGTGATTGCACAGGGAGAGTGAGATATGGTAAAACATGCGGAACCCTCGAACAAGTTCAAAACCTGCCAACCGAAACACCAGCCAGACAATTCTAGGAAGACTTCGAACGATCAAGAATCTTCAAGGTAGTGTAAGTCTATTCCTGACGCATCAAAGAGCCGGGAAAGATCTCGAAGGCAAGCAGCTTTCAAAAAGCTGCCTCTGGACATCAAGAGCAGTTGCATGCCCACGCATAGCCTTAGAGATATCTGATATTTAGCAGCTAAATTTAGCAGGTCCTATACTAGAATCTATTGGCAGCTAGTCACGACAATTGAGTTAATTTGCATGAAACTGTGACTGAGTCAGTCTGAGTCGTTGTATTACAAACATTTACAAACTGCCACAAGCTAAACGTGCCCAATGGATCGGACGCAAACCATGCGTCAGCTAGAAAAGGTGTTGAGATTGATGTATGATGCAAGTTTGATCAGTCTGAAAGTGGCTCTTAATGTAAGTTTGCGTGAACCTATTTCGTCGCAACAACAACCCATGCAAACTCTGGGCGTGGGGGTTCTACCAGTTGCTTGCCATCCTGCAATTTGCAAAATGATCTGACATGAATGACACTGACTCTATTGAAACAAATTGAAATATATTGAAAAAACAAATCTTCTTGCTCTGCGACATTCTGCGACTGAGGCCGGATCCATACATCCCTCCACAAAACGATCTATGCTGACCTCCTGGTCTTCGCCAGCCACGGTCCGGAAGAAATGCCTGTCAAGGATTGTCAAGGCATCCAGTTTGAAGACCCCAACAAGCCAACATATTCCGACATTTTTGCAGAAGATCCTACTTGGAATGGAAAACATGGAAAACATTGGAAAATCAATCTGGTATTTTTGGTCTTCAAAACATTGGACATGCTCAGCTGCTCAATAGTTTCTAGCTGAGCTGCTCAACATCATGCAACTCCAGCCCCACACTTGCCATGTAGGACCTAGGGCAACTCTCCGGACAAAAAATGGTTCATGTGCGAATGATGACAACGGAGAGTCTCCGGCCATGCCTTTTTAATCCTGCTATGATTCACAGGTGGATGTGGACCACCACTCGCAACTGCAGAATGAATCGCTATGAAATCATCATTCTCAAGCTGCAACATGCTGCAACCAAAGGGCACCATCGTATCGTTTCTCATGTGCCGCCTGAACTCTTCTCTGGTAACGGTGCCTGTAGGGCGTGGCATGCTCTTGTCCGGGAAAAGAGGTCATGGCCATGGCATCTCTCCCAATTCTGTCAAGGGGAAAGTTGGTGCGACGGGGACTGCAAAAACAGCAACTGGATAGTCTGAATAATTATGCTGGAATACTTCATCCAAATCAAGAAGCACCCTACCTGATCCATCGGTGTCAAATTCTTTGCCTCAGTGCAAAGTCCGAATTTCCATTGCCAGAGACATGGGCAGCCTGCCATCAATCTCGTTGAGAATCAGGCAGAGAGTCTTGAAGTCTTCCACCTGTCCAGCCGACAGACATCCTCAACTAGCTCACAATGATGCTGAGAGACTTTACAAGTTGACAAGATTTGACAAGCATGAGATTGCTTCATTTTGACAATTCAGGCTCAGGTCCAATTGAAAAAATCCGAGTCTACGGTCTGTGTCTGTTTCATGATCCGAACATGCAAAAAATCATAAAAAATCACTGAAGACGGAGCAGCCTGCTTCGCGAGTCTCTTCTGTTCCTCCCAAATCAGTTCATCTCCTTAGTACCCAGAAAAGCAGGCCACCGCTGCTCATTGTCAAGCCGGTAGCAAGCTTTCTCGCACAGATATGTCACAGGTGGATCCAATTCCACCGATTTCTACAGTAAAGTAAAGTCGCCCGGCCTTGTGGACAGTTCTTCAAGTTTGCCAAAACATGCCGGATTTTAACCGGATTCGCCATGCTCAGCTTCTGGCTGTCTGGAATTGCGGCGGTCAAAGCTCGCTCCACAAACACTCCAGTCATGATGTTGAAGAGGGCAAACCTGAGCAAAAAAACAAAGATCAAAAAGAGATGAACAGCAGGCAATCTTCCACAGCCTGCTTTTTAGAAACATTGCTTCATATTGCTTCGATGCATCAATGAGAGGAATGTCGCCAAGGGAATGTCACAAACGTATCTTCCCAAATCCCACCAGCCCTGGCCGCCCTAGCCGCCCTAGCCCCGCTAGCCGCCCTACCGGCCAGGCAGCACAAAGAAAAAGGAATACAAGAGGAATAGCACGGTGTAGAAGATTCCACACAATTTCACCTGAGTGAAATTGCAATGCCGGCGGAATTGTGGCAACGCTCCATCTGCCCTTTGCGGCAGCCAACTGGCACAACTTGCACAGTACAATCACAAACACACACACACACTAAAAGTACGTGTATATATATATATAACTATATATATATACCTGAGAAGGGGTGGAACGAAAGCCAGCGCTTGCTTTTTGACTCGCGCGGGGGCGCGTGAAACTCCACCTCATCCATATGGCATGGCTCAAACATGAAGCGCCCCAACATCAACAATTGCTATCGGGTCATAATTTTCCAATCATTAAATGGACCTTTTTAGGGTAAACTCCGCGATTTTGTAACTTCTATATCCAAATATGTTTCCTACAATGTACTGCGGCATTGTGAAAAGTTCTATCTCAAGTTCCGTAAATCCGCCTTTGGTTGCTCATTTATCTTAAAACAGCGCAAGTTTGCTCCCACCCATTGTAGATAAATAATACCCGCTTTTTTGTGTGAACAGTGGTCATGTGACCTCTCACAGTCTAAATTGTTTTCTCCCCAGAATCGTGGTCCATGCTTCTCCGCGAAGTTCCGCAACATTTTGGCCGTACGGTGAGAAATCAAAACACAGCTCTACTCGCAAAATGGGCAGTGCAAACCCAAGACAATATTATAACATACGTAAGAAAGGGTATAAGAACGAATGAAAATCGAGGAAAACAATGCAAAACCCACGGGAAATATAGAACAGTGGCGAACATGCAGTCCAAATCAAAAGCATATATATTTAGGCCATTTACAGACCTGGGTACCCCCCCCCACCCCCCAAGGGTCTGGAAAATAGATATTTTACAGGAAATGTCGCGGAATAGCATCGTCCCTGACATCGATAGAGATAATTGTTTGGCATCCCGGAAAATCTTCTCAGCTATCACACTCGCCAAACATCCCTTTCAAAAGGCACACATACTATCACGGACGTACAGATGCATATCATTCCCGTCATTGCCATTAGAAGATTCAAATTCTTTCTCAATGTTTTAGTACAAGATTCACTTTTAGTTCTGTTTCAGCCTTCTCAGTACGGCCTCTTACAATGATATTACAGCATTTGTCTCCTAACCTAGGTGGCTCCTGGGCGCAATCTTCATTCCAATGCTTTGTGGCAATAACCAGAGGCCTGGAGCCTATGCATCACTTGACAGTCGACTCAGTTCTAAACCGGAAAGACTATTCCTTCCGTTTACCAGTAGATCGTTTTTGTAGTTCTTATCACAAAACTACCAGAATCAGGGAGGCACCAAAAAACGTCAAACAGCTTTAAGCATTATAAATACTCGAATCTGCAGATTGTATTTATTTTTCTTACTCTGTGAACGAAATCATACTTTTCTAACTTCACACAGATTACCATGAAACCAATTTTCCCATGCAACTCTTAAAATCTTACAACTCATACATCTTTTTTCCTATACCATCCGCATCTTGCTCCAAGGTTTCATGGCAATGTCTTGTACGCGAGTCAGCCACTATTTCCTATCACCAAACTACATTGCTCATCATCTAACATTATCTACAGAAACCAAATCGGATTTCCTGCTCAACGTTTCCGCTCGTTAACATTGTCTTGGTTTTCACTATATTTTTAAAGCATTTTTAGCTTGGTTTTCACTGTCTTTTTCTAACATGTTACATGCCTCCTAGCATGTTCACGCGTGCCCTCCATGTTGTACTGTTTTCTACATCGTTTCCTCTAGTTGTTACAAGCATTTCCTAGCTTGTACACCGTTTTCCTAATATTGTCACAACTTTTCTTCCAGTTTCCACTGCTTTTTCTACCGTTTCCTGTGGTTACTTTCTTCTCTTTTGTAGGTTTTCACTGTGTTTTGTCCAGCTTTTTTTATTACATGCTTCCTACCATTTTCACCGCTTTCCTCTATGGTTTTTTGTACCATTTCCTCTCGTTTCCTGCATTTCATGCATTTTCAATGTATTTTTCCAAGAGTTACCCGTCTCCTTCAGTTTCCGATCGTTTTTGCACCATTTCCTCTGGTTGTTATCGCATTTTCCTGCACTTTCACTGTCTTTTTCCAGCATGTTTACTGCATCGTCATAGTTTGTTCCTAGCACTCACTCCGGTTTCCTCCATGTTCCAACAGATTTTGCACCCTTTATTCTGGTTGTTATCACATTTTCCTGCCAGGTTGTTATCACATTTTCCTTCACTGTATCTTTCGAGCATTTTCCAGTGGATTTTGCACGATTTCCTCTGATTGTTATCATGTTTTCCTGCAATTTCTATATCCTCTTCGTGGGTTTTCAATCTATTCATGCATTTTTAATCTATTTTTCCAAGATTTTTACCCGTCTCCTTTTTGCACCATTTCCTCTGGTTTGCTGCATTTTCAATGTATTTGTCCAAGAGTTTTATCCGTCTCCTTGATTTTTCCGATCGTTTTTGCACCATTTCCTCTGGTTGTTATCGCATTTTCCTGCACTTTCACTGTCTTTTTCCAACATGTTTACTGCATCATCATAGTTTGTTCCTAGCACTCACTCCGGTTTCCTCCATGTTCCAACAGATTTTGCATGGTTTGTTCCTAGCATTTTCCTCTGATCGTTATCATGCTTTCCTCAAGTTTCATTGTATTTTCCAATACATCCTCTTCGTGGGTTTTCAATATGTTTTGTCCAGCATTTTTTTACTACATGTTTCCTATCATTTTCACCTCTTTCCTCCATAGGTTTTTGCACCATTTCCTCTGGTTTCCTGCATGTTCATACCTTTTCAATATTAATATTAATCCAAGAGTTTTACCTGTCTCCTTCATTTTCCGATCCTTTTTGCACCATTTCCTCTCGTTGTTATCACATTTTCCTGCACTTTCACTGTATTTTTCCAGCATGTTTACTGCATCGTCATGGTTTGCGCCTAGCATTCGCTCCGGTTTCCTCCATTTTCCAAGGGATTTTCCATGGTTTGTTCCTCGCATTCGCTCCGTTTTCGTCCGTTTTCCAAGGGATTTTGTACGATTTCCTCTGATCGTTATCATGTTTTCCTGCAGTTTCATTGTATTTTCCAATACATCCTCATGGTCTCTCCGGCCACCAAAAAGGCGGACCTAGGGGGAATCGATACCCCACCGTCAGCAAATTACCTAGTGGTACATAATCCAGCAAAATGCTCCGTTTTCTGGCGCTCAACACAAGGGCACGGCGAGATTTCGTTCCCTTTCGGCAACCACCCCCCCCACACCCCCTATTCTCACTTCGTTCGCAAACAGCAACTAGCCAGCTAGCTGGCTTTCGTAATTTTTCTAACATGTTACATGCCTCCTAGCATGTTCACGCGTGTCCTCCATGTTGTACTGTTTTCTACATCGTTTCCTCTAGTTGTTACAAGCATTTCCTAGCTTGTACACCGTTTTCCTGATATTGTCACAACTTTTCTTCCAGTTTCCACTGCTTGTTTCTACCGTTTCCTGTGGTTACTTTCTTCTCTTTTGTAGGTTTTCACTGTATTTTGTCCAGCTTTTTTATTACATGCTTCCTACCATTTTCACCGCTTTCCTCTATGGCTTTTTGTACCATTTCCTCTCGTTTCCTGCATTTCATGCATTTTCAATATATTTTTCCAAGAGTTCTACCCGTCTCCTTCAGTTTCCAATCGTTTTTGCACCATTTCCTCTGGTTGTTATCGCATTTTCCTGCACTTTCACTGTATTTTTCCAGCATGTTTGCTGCATCGTCATAGTTTGTTCCTGCAGTCGCTCCGGTTTCCTCCATGTTCCAACAGATTTTGCACCCTTTATTCTGGTTGTTATCACATTTTCCTGCCAGGTTGTTAGCACATTTTCCTTCACTGTATCTTTCGAGCATTTTCCAGTGGATTTTGCACGATTTCCTCTGATTGTTATCATGTTTTCCTGCAGTTTCTATATCCTCTTCGTGGGTTTTTAGTCTATTCATGCATGTTTAATCTATTTTTCCAAGATTATTACCCGTCTCCTTTTTGCACCATTTCCTCTAGTTTGCTGCATTTTCAATGTATTTTTCCAAGATTTTTACCCGTCTCCTTCATTTTCCGATCGTTTTTGCACCATTTCCTCTGGTTGTTATCGCATTTTCCTGCACTTTCACTGTCTTTTTCCAGCATGTTTACTGCATCGTCATAGTTTGTTCCTAGCAGTCGCTCCGGTTTCCTCCATGTTCCAACAGATTTTCCATGGTTTGTTCCTAGCATTTTCCTCTGATCGTTATCATGCTTGCCTCAAGTTTCATTGTATTTTCCAATACATCCTCTTCGTGGGGTTTCAATATGTTTTATCCAGGTGATCTATCAGTTCTTTCACACCTTGGAAAGACGTCCCATTCACCAATCAAACGGAGGTACAGTCATCCGATCTGCTGCTCTCCAACACATCTCTTACTTTCATTCGGTACCATGATCACTCCACTTCTCCAACCCTCTAGCTTTTAACGTTCTCCACTTGCACTCGTCGCAATACATTTTCCTAGCGTTCTCAACACTTCTGCCACTACTTTCGAAACCCGGGGGGGGAAGCAGGTCTGTAAATTGCTATATTTTTGTCCACCAATTTCCAACACTTTTCCTTTTTTTTAACGTCGTTTTCGCAGATTTTCCTGCGCGCCACTGGTCTTTCCATCGTTTCCGTTCGTTAACATTGTCTTGGTTTTCACTATATTTTTAAAAACATTTTTAGATATAACATTTTCCTTGGT